ACCATCCACAACAACAAATTTTTCCTTTCTTCCTTCTTCGGGCTCCTGAACCAAATCTTCCACCTTGCATTTTGAGAACACCATTACACGCAACTACTGGTCCGGCACAGGTCAAATTTGAGCAGGGCACTTTCCTCTTATGACGTCTGATTCAAAATCCAGCGCTGATTTTGACCACTCGGGTTTCACTTTTCAATTTTTCTAGATTTTCTTCTATGACTAGGCTAGCCAAATTTCACATATAGGTAGCTAAAGGTACTAGCCTCCAAATGGTATAGTAGCCCTATCCCCTCTGCTCTCCTGCCATTCTTCTATATGTCTCCACATTTTTGAATGGGATGACCTAATAATTGCGGTTCAACACATTAAAGCACTCCACACTATAGTGACCTATGTGGTAACAGAAGTTTCTCATTGTCATATGCAGAAGGCAGATTGAATGGACGGTTCTAACGGGTTCACAAAAAATGAAGCACAGAAAAGGCTTTTTGCAACCGCGCGACGCCACCAATAATCGATTACTGTTGAAAAGTCGCTTCAATAAACTTTTCTTCCTGGAAAAAAATCCTAACCTGGCCTTTCCGAGCAATTTTCAAGTGTGTCCCCCTGTCACATGGGAACTGTGCAATACATCCATCTGGCGAGAAACCGGCCGTCGTTTCCTTACAGATAGCGCCTGTGCATAACTGTACATGCAACGGTTTCCAGCAGGAACACTTCGTTTCCAGACGCGGAACTGAAAATATTCTATAACTGCTTTCGTAAGATTTTTGCTAGTTAAAGTTATTTTCACGGTTATCTCTACTCTCAGCGAAGCGATGCCAGAAGACATCAGAGGATCTTCGTGAAAAACACAACTAAAGGAGTCGTAGTCCGGTCGCTGGGGAGGGGTCGTGGGAGTCTCCCACGCTGTGAGAAAAATCTTCTGTGAGGGATTCATGGATTTTCCCCGTCTCTATATGATCTGTAGCTGGCAGGCGACACCGCGAACAGAACAGCTTACCATCGTCAGGGACTTTCTCAGGGGAGGGTCGTAATAAGCGTGGCAGTCAATACCGAACAGCGCGAAGGTTCAGCATCGCCTAATCCTGAGTAGCGAATTCTTGTTTCGTAGAGAACCCGAATAAGTAAAAAAACACCACAGAATCAAATTTTCTAACAAGCTGGTCGACATATTTCGTGAGCGTAAATGAAGAACTAGTGCAACATGAACCGTAGCTTAGGGCCACTCTTTTTTGGACGCATCATGATAAAAATTAGCGTGTTGTGGTGACAGACCCTACGTAGAATTTGGTCTTTCCACCACCTCTGCGTGAGGGACCAATGCATGGTGCACCCAGAGATGCTAGTGGGCGCTATCAACCACCCTATCAACCACTCTCTACTCCTGTTCTGAAGGACCCGTTCTAGATGCATTCTTAGGCATGCGCAGTGCACAAGGGAAAGGAACCTCTGTTGAGGCACATCATGTTGACTATTCGCTGTGCCTTATGATCCTCGTCGAATAGCGTCCATTCACCATCACATCTAACGTTGGCCGGACAGATGGTTTTGTACTTTCCAGCCTCCAGCAGCACCCTGAAAGCGCCATTAAATTACAATAAGCTTTTAACTTAGGTAGAGCTTCCGTATATCATATACGATCCAATAATGATGAGTCACTTCCATCTCCTGAAGCCCCTACCTCGTGAACTCTTTTCCAGTTTTAACACAAATTCTAACCAATCAAACCCATGAAAGCTCTCAATAAGACTGACTGCATTTCTGCTCCTGGGCATTCGACAGTAAGTTGCTCACAACCGGACGACACGTTGAGCTTCTTCTCGATCCTCGCCGCCGTGCAATGGAATTCATCTGGGCAGTGGTGTTGATCGGCGATATAAGTCGCTGCCGGTGAACATGCACTACAGCTTCGCACCGGATCCTCATCAACTGTCAACGAATATCATCAATATCTGGTTAAAAAGAATCATTCCACAGATCACGATAAATACCTATGCGCGATACTGGTGGCACAAAGATAGGTTTAATGCACATGTTCGAACCGAGTACTACTGGTTTCAGATGAGTGCAGCTGAATACATTTCTGCAACTCTCTCAGGAAATTAATCAGAATTTTTATCGAGCACATATCGATCCTTTGTAGAAAATATTCCCACTTCGTTGTATGCTTTATTAGCTAGTTTTTTATGCCCACCCTTTGCGCAGCCGCTATCGGCTGGTCATATAGGAAGGACAGCCTTTCATGGAGCTAGGCTTGCACTGGCTAGGGAC